AGTCCTAATTAGAGTAAACCCAATAAATCAGTGAGATCTGCGTATGTTTAAATTCACAATTCAACAAGTGATTCAATGGACCTACTCTGATTTGCAACAACTAATAGGATTCAGGCCAAGAAATATAATAAAAAATTGATAGGTGGTCAAGAGGTAGTGGTTGGAAGAAAGAGGAAGAGTCCTCCATCAATAGGAGGGAAGAAGATAAAGGGGTAAATGCAAAGAGAAAAAGGAAAACAGTTTCAGATTGTCACTTTCTCCCCAAATCTCTAAACCCTTTCTGGCTGTTCTAACAAGAAGGATATATCCCTTCAAGGGCATCTCTCTTACTTCTTTAGATGTAAGTCTGGGACTAATCTGAGTACTACCATTCTGATCCAATTCCTCTCTTCCAGCTTTTAGTCTTCGCAGTCCTCTATCCACCTTTTCTGCATCCTACACCAATGTAACTCAAAATGGTGGTCTGTCAATCTGTGCTGGTTCGAAATGAACTGGTTTGAACTATCACCTGAACTGCACCTTCTTAACATGTTAAATGGGTTAGATAACCAACTAGAAAAGTAATACGAGAGAATTTTACTATACATGGTAACAGCTGCCAGAATTGTCTTTGCTAAAAAGTGGAAAAAAACAAGGAACTCTCAGCTTGGAAAAATGCATCACAAAACTGATAGACATATCTGAAATGGATAACGATTTTCTCAGTGATAAACCCATAAAGTCTTATGAAAACAGGTGGAAAATTGTAACTTCCCTATAGGAAACAAAGGGATAAACAGAACAGAATTAATAAGAGGTGATAAGAAAACTTAACAGATGATGTTCAAAACAGATAATAAAAGGGGGAAACATAATAAAGGAACAGCAAAAATGATTGGTTATCAAGGTAAAAACAATATGGTAAACAATAACAAACCATTAAGGGTACTAAGGGAAAAAATCTATTTGTAGATATAGATTATATACCAGTATATATTTCAAACAAGGGGAAAGTAAATATGAAATAAGATAAAGGAATACACAGGCATTACAAAGAGAGAGAGAGAGAGAGATAATAAGGCAAAGAGATGGAATTAGGAAGTCAAACCATGATGAAAGAACAAACGATTGTTGAAAAGGAAGATTGGTAAAAAAATTAAATTGTTAAAGGTATATGTAAACAGATAACTAAGGACGTTATCACACGGGGAGTCGCGGGCAGAAAGTGGAAATAAACGGGCACGAGCGGAAGTCTTTAATTTACGGGATTTGTCCCTTTCCGACAAATCCCGTATAGAATCATAGAATCATAGAATAATGGAATCATAGAGTTGGAAGAGACCACAAGGGCCATCCAGTC